TTATTATCCTTACCTTTAATGTGTTTAACTTTGAAAGGTAACCCCAATATTAACTCTGTCCAGCGCCCCAATTTACCTAACTTATTGTGGTGTGATAAAACCCAAGATAAACTTTGATTGTCCGTCTCTAAATAGAATGGCATAACTTCTAGGTAACTCCTAAACTTTTGAATCGACAGTACAACTGCTAATGCTTCCTTCTCGTAAACAGTAAGGTTTAGTTCCTGCTTTGTAAACTTCTTAGAGTAATAATGGACCGGAAATCTAACACCATCGATCTCTTGCAATAACACTGACGCCAAACCTACTTGGCTCGCATCTGTTTGCAGTATAAAGGGCATGTCATAGTTTGGTAATCTTAACACAGGAGGGTTACTGATTAATTCTTTCAACTTTTGAAAATTAGCTTCACATTCAGCCGTCCATATAAACTTAGCGTTTTTCTTTCGTAACTCATTTAGAGGGGCACATAATATTGCATAATTTTCAATGAACCTCGAGTAAAAATTAATCATTCCAATAAACCTGCTTAGGTTTTTCTCAGATGTTGGACTCTTATACTCCCTAATAGCGTTTGTCCTATCTGGGTCAACTTTCAATGTGTTGTGGGAAACCCGGTGTCCTAGGAAACTTATTTCCTCCGCAGCAAACAGCACCTTACTTGGATTAACAGTCAAATTAGCTTTTGATAACCTATTTACCACTTCCGTTAAATGTTCCATATGTTCCTCTGGATCTTTAGAGAAAACCACTATATCGTCAACAAACGATATTACAGACTTGAATTTTAAGTCTCCAAAGACTCTATCTAGATAACTGGACAATAACCCAGATCCAAGGTGTAGTCCATATGGACAACGGCGGTATTGGTAAAGTGAGTATGGAGTGGAGAACGCAGTTAGGTGCCTACTTTTAGGATCTAAGGGCACCTGATAATACGAATTGTTTAAATCTAGCACTGTGTAAATTGAAGCTCCGCTGAGGTAGTTAAATGACCCTTGTAATTCCCCTATGGGGTGCACGATAGGCTCAATCTTTGAATTCAGTTCTTTATAATTTGTCACCAACCTATGACCTTTCCCCTCCCCTTTACTAACTAGGAAACTAGGTGATGAATAGTTTGACAAACTTGGTTCAATAATACCTTGCTTTAATAACGAATCTGTTATGTCTCGCATGATTTTCATGTTTGGCGGGGAAACAGGATAGGGTCTTATCTTTACTGGCGTAGTGTCCTTTAACTTTATTTCACACTCAAAATCTAAAGCCTTTCCTATTTCATTTGTAAAAACCTGTGGATTGCGTTCTACTAAACTTTCAATTCGGTCCTTGAGATTTAACCGCCCAATCTTTAACTCTAAACCACCACAACTGACAGCTTGCACAGTATTATTTTCGTTTACATTCAAATTGAAAATATTGTCCATATCAAATGAAAAATAACCTTTATTTTCTCTTAGATTTAAAACTAGTCCAGTTTTCTCCGTGAACCTAACTCCTAATATTACATCCCAGGTTATTTTCTCGGCAATAAAAAACTGCACGGACCATGACTTATTTTGAATTTTTACTTTCACAATGCATTTACCTAATAAGTTTACGGATTCACTTGTAGCGGTTACACAGTTAACCTTATCGTTAGACCTGCTTATCACTAGCCTTTTAGATTCCAGCTTATCATAAACATTCTTACTTATAATGTTTATGGAACTCCCCGAATCTAACAATGCACACTGTACCATATTGTTACTAAAATGTACATTTACTACTGGCAAGTTATGAATACCTCTTTTAGTTTTGAACCAACGCCTATTCTTAATCTTTCTCTCTAATTTCTTTACCTGACTTTTCTCATTCTTAACATGTTTCTTAACATCTAAATTACACAAACTGTTATTGAATGTTTTCTTAAATTTCTTTTTATTAAAGTCCCCTGTTTTATGGAAGGCACTCTTCCCTCTCACTAGTTTCCCTGATTGTTGGTCCCTGTAGGCCTACTCCCAACGTCATCCCTGTTTGACCCGCCACTTGTGTGACCTCCCCTAGTGTAACCTCCCCTAATGTCCCTACCTCGTTTCCAACAATCCCTTATGAAATGACCGGGTTTAGAACAGTAGTGACATAATCGCGGTTCCATCTGATTACTCCCGCCTTCTCTTCCATTAGTTGTATTTACATTATTTACATAACCACGACCAGAATTATTACCGCCAAACTGATTCCTTCTCCCTCTTATCTGTTCCCTTTCCCAGTCATTATACTCAACATTCTTAATTACCATACACATTTTTTCCAAATCTTGTAAACTTTTAGGAAATTCCTGGAAAACTAATTTATTTCTGTCCCTCGGGTTTATTCCTACGATAATTACGTCAATCAGTTCACGTTCTGAGTAATCACATTTTAATAACTCCGCGTTATTCCTTACCTCACACACATACATGGCAAGAGGTTCGTCTGGACCCTGGGGTCTATGTACCAGGTCACGTTTTAGCTTCTCATATAAACCCTGTGGAATGAAGTATGATAAAACACCTTAGAAAATTAACAAAAACTATTTCTCCACTTAACCAAAATAAACTTTACAACCATTACTAACCCCCCCCCTTTTTTATTTTGCCCTCCCCTTTCTTTGATCGATCAAACCTTATATAAAAATCCCTAAAACACTTCTGGTCCTCTCCAAAGTCCATACTTCCTACTTTTCAACTCAAATATAGGCCTAATCATTAAATTTTAAATATTGATGTGTAACATGGTGAAGGGTACTCATCACTTCACGAACGCTGTCTTCAATCTTTGGTGGAGCTTCAGTGAGATGATCTGAACCGGAGACAGTCTACTGGTGGGAAGACGTCCATGGTTTGCAAACAGATAGTCCCTAGATGGTTGTTAGGCCCCCAAGAAGGTGATACTGGTCCAGGCTCCTCCAGACAACAGATAGGCGATGGTGTACTCTCCGACGATGTTTAACTCTGGGACTTGAACCCTAGGACATGTTCCAAATTCGTACTATGGATCCCTTCTTTAATATCTTTATTTTAGTATAGTTACACATACTTTCACACATCTATCCAGCAAAGTTAATTTTCCCACAAATCGTTTCTAAAGTCTAGTTTCCCCAATAAATTTTAACATAGAATACTAAAATTCTCATTTTGTTCTCATTGACAAACATTTGAAATAACCCCTTTAAATAAAATCATTCGTAAGTACAAAACATAAAATATTTTAACATATTACCTTTTTCTGAATTTACATAATAGTAAAATTGACCACAAAGTAATTTTTAATCAGCTGTCTCAAACATGTGTCTAATACATCTTGATTCTTTAACGAATTACTAAATCAGTTTACTGTGACATTTTAATTAAACACAAATAGCCTAAATTAAACATATCCTTCTTCCATATCGAAATAAATAACTGTTTAGATAAATCCTTAATAACTACCCCAAACTAAAACAATATTAAAATCCTGTCGGTTCAACTAGAACATGACTTTGAAACCAACCTAATTTTACCTTAAAAAATAAAATTTAATCGAAATATTCTCTCTGAACAGTTACTGATAGTTATAAAAATCATTTAGATTGACACAATGCTCTTTAAGTTTAATCCCTTTTAAGATACAAAGCTAAAACAATTTTTTAACACTCGTTAAAACCTGAGCCAAAAACACGTGGTGTTCAATCTTCATATCTATCAAAATTTAAGTAAAAATTATTAATTGGTTTACCCAAAAATGCTTAGCTATATATATTTACATATTGAAGTTGTACTGATTTTTCCTGGAATAACCTTAAACATAAATTGCTTAATTATTTGCATTACATACCTCCAAATCGAGGGAACAAGTTGACTGTCGGCCACAACTACGCAAAATGAGATTGAAACAAAGTGGTTCTCCTCCAAATTATGAATCATCGCTACCCTAAGCCTAATCTCGAACACTTGCCACCAGACTGCGCGCTTGCAGTTATCAATGCTGGTATCGACTTGAACTAAGAAAACCGGTTTCTTCTAGTTTTCCAGGATTTGTATTAACATTCAATTCTTTTACCTTATAACATATGAAAATAAAATATAATTTCTGTCACAATCGTGACACAACTACAATATATGGACTATGTTGAGTCAATTTTACACAAAGCACATGAAAAAATTCAATTGTTAATCTGTTATATTTTACACAGAACATAAAGTTGACAGGGTATTTAAAACATACAATATTCAAGTTAATCTCTACAAAAATACTTAGAATACAAAATTAATAAAAAAAATTTAAACCCTCAGAGAAGACAAACATCGATCCACAGGTTGTCAACCGTGTGATCATAAATCTAATAAGGTCTGTAAATTTCAACTCGCTCGAAAGAGTCGACAATTGATTCGTCACCATCACTGTCGTTGTCCCAGTCGTGTACATGGGTATGTTCTGTACATGAATCCAAACTGTACAACTGGAACAATGGTGATAGTACGCAATAATCGCACCAACTGCTTTCTTGCCTTAGAATATCTCTTACGAACCCACTGGGATCTACACCAAAGTGATGTACTGTACTAAAGAATCGCCAATTCAAGGACTGCCAGTGTTCTTCATAATCGTCAAGTGGATCGGAGGGTTCACACGTTTTTATAAAACACCTTTTACATAAACGGTACGTACTAGTGTTACCTATAATATGCTCGTAGTATTCAAAAAATACATGGCCTTTATCTGAATACGATGGCCAAAACTCAGGGTGAACCCTACTGTGATGATGAGTCAACATAAGAAACTCATACTTGTCTAGTTGGTTGAAATTCAAGTATCGGTATTGAAATTGACTGCGACTAAATGGAAGACAATATCTCTGGGACATCCAAATGTGTTTGAGTCTCTTACAAACATCGCGTTTTATTGAATTTGGCAGTATCGATAGTATTTCTAATTCATCGAGACTATCAATATTATTTGTACTATCTATAGCTAGACAAGTCGACGTAAGAGCTAAATCATATAATGTCATTGTCATTGTTTTCATTGCTGTCCTCCTCAGCGGTAGGTTCTTCCGTGATGGTCCTAAGTTTATAATGCCCGTAGGGAAGCGTGTTGATTCGGTCATTAGTAATTACTCTCTTGTTGTCTGAAGCGGACAGAGATCGTTTAACAACTGTTTTCGTTGTAATCCTGAATAGCCGGCTTTGGATTAGATTGAATTCGGCTTTTTCCGGTTCAAATCCTTCGAACAATGTTCTTTTATAGTCTTCAAACGATAGGTAACGTTTCACGTAGGATGATTTTATACCCTTTGCTTTTTTAGAAGTGAACTCTATTTCACTTTCATCCGACCCATAGCGATAAATGTACATTTTAGAACGTAGACCGACGTACTCTTGAATATGTTTTCCTAAACGCGATTCGTCTTTGAAACAACCGATTTTACCTTTGTTTGTGTCGTCTTTGAGCGGATGTCCTACAGGATATACTGACATATCCAGATATGCAGCAAGTGTGGGCTGTTTTAATACTTGGAAAAGATCGCGATCAGTGGTCAAGTGCAGCAGATAACTATCTGTGTCTGTATACTGCAGCCTTAACTCTTTGTCTGTAAAGTGGTTACAAAGTACGTCGTAGTAGAACTGATACATGTGTACTTTGGACAAGTCAAGCACACACATTCCCGCATAGATAGGAGCGTTGAGGATCACCGTTTTTCTTTGCATGTACACAAGTACGATGTTTTGGTCGATTATAACATGTTCCACGAATTGAGGGTTCCGAATAAGCTTTTGCAATGTACTGTCTTTAGTTACAATTCTGACGTCGCGGTGGTTACGCTTGTTCATAAGCAACCTTCCGTAGTTCGCATTATTCATCAATTTGAATATGCTTTTGTAGAACTCGTTTGTCGACTTGGCTCTCATTTCCGCGTTAAAGTCTACAAACTTTTTCATAAAGGGTGATTGTGAAAACGAGATTGCTCTGTGGACCTTTGTTACAATCAATCCCAGTTTAACGGCCTGTTGAAACACGGAATAATGAGCTACATATTTCGTTTTATCTTTTAGTGTCGCAAGCAGCTTTTTGTCCTTACTTCCCGGGGGTGCTTCTAGCTCAGGCAATGGCGGAAGGTACTGCAAACGATCGTGAACATTATCAGGGACTTTAAGATCACACTCTAGTATGTATCCGGTTGGATTATCCGAAGAGACACTGGACCAGTCTAGGTTTTCGGGTGACTCTACAAACTGAAAGTGTCCAGTTGGAAGGTATTTGCTTTGGGATGCGCCATATAAGTTTATGGCATCAAGCATAAGAAGCCAGCTCTGCTTTTCATTGGGATCGTAGTCAGCGGTATTGATTAAATGAGGGTTGTTTGCTTTGGCATAGCGGGTCACACATTGGACTAACCCACCTCGTATGCCACTTTCAATCATCAGTAACATATCAGGATCGGTAAGTAACTCAAGGGTTACACGTGTCATACGCAGCATCGCTTTGTAGGCAAGTCCAGGTGCGGTGTACATATGACAACAGTCGATCTTGTACGCTTCCAAACACGTTTTCCTAAATGATGTCAGAACGTCTGCAAGAAGGCAGACGTCAAGTTTCAAGTAAAAATCATGGAAATCTCCAAAGGTTTCCATTTTTAATTTTTCCCAAACTTCCATCGCAAATGTGTAATCTTCCACCGAACACGGTTCGTTATTGAGTTTGTCATAAAATGCATCACGGTTTGGTAAGCTTGTTTCATCAAATACTTTTGCTGACGTTACATAACTATAAGGATAACCCCTTTACGTCGGATGAGATTTAAATGTTCAGTGGGTACGAGTTTCGACGATTCTACGAGTCATTTTCTGACAAGGTGTCGGCCAGTTTTGCCAGACTCAAAGACATCAGTCTAAAGGAATCAAGAAAGCGCAGCCACATACGACCCACTCGGACTGATATCGATATGTACTTATCGTTTGTACAAGGGATAACCTTTACTTCACAGTCTGGGACTGATGATAAGCTTTTTATAATAAAATTACCATCGTAATTCGACATGTTGTGACAATACACCGGGATGTAGTTTATGGTAGAGCTACGTAAATTGCATTTACTACAGATCACGTGTCTCATGTTACCCGATATATGACAGTGGTCTAAGACCCTGACACAGTGCTGTCATTGAAAGCACGATCACACAGCTCGCAAGCCATGGTTGATTCGAAGCGCTCCGTCTCTTGAGCTGTTAGTGGTTTGACCGGTTCGAAACGCGTATAAAAGTTGTTCGACACTCGCTGACAATTTGTTGCATATGAAACATAAACGACTGAGCAGCATTGGGACTACGGTGTACCTGCGGCTCCGTACTGATTCCTACTTCGTGCAATTTCTCGTCAGGTAGTGTTGACTTTACTAAGGTAGCATAGGAATTGGGTTCGTGACATTCGAATGAACGATCAGAGCCTACTATTGGTACAAGAGTAGCTTCAAAGTCGGCAATAACAATGACCGGCTCCGGGATTTGATTTTCAAACTCCTCGTACTTTAATAGGTTTTCACCTTCCTTTGGTAGGCGAGTGTTTGCGAGTTTAAATTTTTTACAAAGTCGTAGGTGCTCTTCGAGCCATGACTTTGGATCCGGTTTACATTTTCGAACCTCACGGTGCGTCGAACACCGTTTGCAAATTACGATCTGATTGTGTCCGGCAGCCACTTGTGGACGTATCAGTTTGGAAAAATTAGATATATAAACATAGTGAGCGTTTTCGGCTGACTCGCGATACAATAATAAATCTATGTGGTCCTGTTTCTCATCAACTACCCGTAGTGGTGTTATATCACAGCCTGGAGCTGTTTCGAAAACATTTACCGAGGTATTGGGATTATTTAATTCAAACTTTGCGATTGACGACACTGTCACAGGAAATTTTATTCCCTCAAAGTTGTATACGTGCTCATAGTCAACGAACGATTCTTCAGTCAAGACTGAATTAACATCTACGTTCGGGAGGTGTTTCACTAGTACACTATATTTAAAACATTTAGAGTCTGTATTACGAACATTGATTGTGGCTTTCCTTTGTGTTATACGTTTTGGCAGTACTGTGTATGCTTTCCCAGTGGGTTTCTTAAAAGTAAACCTACTTACTCTAAGCGTTAGCGTTGACGGATGGTCCAGTGTCCATCCAGCCCCTTTCCCTTCGAATTCAGACTCCTCAGTGAGTAGCTTGGCACCGTCTTGGGCGAGAATGTCTTGGAGATCATCGCTGCCGCCGTAGACTGTCCTGGTAGATGTTTTGAAGTTGAATTCTTCTTGCGTTCCTTCATGTTGATGGTTGAAGACTGACAACACCACCATGTTGTATTTGAGACTGGGCGATGTTTTAAACTCTTCTCGAAGCAGTTTCTCAGCAACCGGAAGTGCAACACTCAGGAACGCTTTCGTGTCACGGTAGTAAGCGTTGGGATTGTCAATGATAAAATCCCGACAACTTAGTAGACCTCTTTTCATGTACCATTTTAATCGAGGTGGTGTTCCAGACTGCTGTGATGTGGTGGCGCTCTGTCGAGTCGTATGTAGTTGGACGTTTGTAGACGTTTCTGGAGTTTGTAGTCGAGAGGTTGGAGGCACAGCTGCAGACTCCTCGAATCTCTCAGCAAGTGGTGGGCTGCTGTTCCGTAGCTTCTTTCCTCTAGAAGACGGATGAGCAACGTCCTCATCAGAAGACGATGTAGATAGAGTATGTTTCCTACCCTTGCTGAATTTTTTTGAATACACTTTAGTAGCAAGACACATTTGCTGGTGTCTCGCCAACGCTTTCACTGATATAAAATATGCTTCATGACAAATGGAACATTCTATAAACTCCATCATAAAAGAACATTTAACACACCGAGTCACACACACAAACACCGAGCACACAGATGTTACTACTACTCTGAGCACTGAGCGAATGAGTGCTGATCACAGAGTGCTGAGGGTATTTATGTCGGGGTGTACCCTTGACACATGGTCGTCCTTAACCTGAATCTTACATTGTCATTGACCCATTTTAAGGGTTGTCCTTAACCCCCTTTTGTGTCCTCGACCTATTAGTGGATCAACTTCCTAGACCTCGAAGTGTGCATATAAACACGTTGAGGATTACTGGAGTACTCATTCTACTCTTGGTACTCGTACTCAACGAACCTTCCACACGCTGGTGAGTAGCAGTTGTTTGTCTCTCTTGATTACTAATTACTACTTTATTTCAGCTCTATTTTTTAAAAAAGGTTTTCGTAAGAATTAACGATAGTTGTTTATGAACTGCCACAGTCTTTTGCAAATTGTGCTGGCAGTTGTAAGAGGCATTTTTCCAATTACTGCCTACAGTTTTTATCATGTTTACTGCGCGGCTCGGTTTTATTTGTAGGTTTTAGCGTGGTTTTGTGTATACATACGTTTTTTATAAACAAAAGCTGAAGCGTATACGGGTTTTGTGAGTTTGACCATTTTATGATGCATGCTAAACTTTATTTGGTTTACAGACCTCTTGTTTTCTGGTTTCTAGTTACACTACACTACTTTTGGGTTGTAAAAGTAACAATAACAGTAAACAGCAGTACATTTATGTTTATTTAAATAAATCGATAATCTCATCATCATCCAATGAGCTGTACCCCGACGATGAAAGTGTTGATATCATTTGATCCAACTCCTCTGGCAGTTCATTATCATCATCATCATCATCATCATCAGATATGATGATCGGTGATGATGGTGCAGGTCGTATGTCTTGTGGTGGTGCTGTAGAGGTTGACGGCTCGGACGTGTCTGAGCGTGGCTGCAGCGGGGGGGAATTGAGTATGGAGCAGAGCGTCAAACATTGTTTTTTTACAGGCGGGCCCTGTCCCTCTGTCGGTCTTTTCCCCCATGGTATCGAACCAGTGATTCGTGGCGCATAGCCGCCGCCATTCTTCCAGCTGTAACAGATTGTTTAGTTTAGAGTACAGTTTGTCAAATCAGCGTTTTACTGTGGATATTGGTGTGTCTTGGTTTACAAATGTTGTATGAGTTTTAACTATAACATTGACAAAATAGTTTATCTGGTTTACAAAGAATATTACCGTTCACTGCCTAGTTGTATTTTTAACATCAAATACTTTGTGGTTTTGGCTGGAGTTTTGACAGTCGGTGGAAAAATAGTAGTTACGCCTTGATCAGATTTATTATTACTGTCATTCGTCTAGCAAGTTTACCGTAGTGATGGATCGTAGGCTGTATTGGTTTCTTAGGAAGGTTGTTATTTTCTCATATTTACTTTCACTACGTTTGTTAATCTTCAACTGCTCAAGTGTTATTCGGACAATACTACAATAGTATATTTCATAGCTAGGGCCAAAAATTAGGTTTTACCAGCTCGAGATATTTTTAAGTTTGAGACGAAGTCGGGAAGGAAGGTTGTTATTTTCTCATATTTACTTTGACTACGTTTGTTAATCTTCAACTGCTCAAGTGTTATTCGGACAATACTACAATAGTATATTTCATAGCTAGCGCCAAAAATTAGGTTTTACCAGCTCGAGATATTTTTAAGTTTGAGACGAAGTCGGGAAATCGATCGAGTGCTACAAAACCATTTCGGTCCGTGGTACGAACGCTATTTTTCACCACACCCTATTACCACTTTTCACGACTATAGGCAACACAACTACAACTTGTTATGTTAAGAAATAATTTCAGGAATCAGCAAAAATAAAAATTGTTACTAGGCAACGGTGATAATAACACAATTCTATTGCAATGCTATGGATTTTGATTGTATAAAATGCATTCATGTTTTAAGTAAGAGGACAGCTGATTTTGCCACCCTATAAAAACCTGCTTGGTCCCCAAATTACGATGACAGCTGGCTAGCAAAACGTAACTTTCAGCCCGTATGTAATACAGCCAAAAACATAGTGTGGTGAAATCACAATTTAGCGTACTAGATAAATAAACCCCGGTCTCCAAACACAAAACAGCGGCAAGTGACACGATCGCAGCACTAACAGGATTATATGTTTCAGAACCATGTCTGCTGATCTCCGTACAAAACTGAACAAGCTAGTGGTTGTCGAGGGACCCTCTAGAATCGCAATGACCGAACTTACAAACCCTGCTGGCTACACAATTACAGCGGCACGATTACACAGCCACGCACAGTACGGGATTAGCGTTATTCTAGAGGTATTAGTGGACAACATAGTGAGGATGGTGTTTCTTCCAAAACGGTTCGGACAAACTCTGTCCCAATCGGATGTAGATACGCTGGCTAACGGGACATACAAAGTTAAATGTACCGGCATCACCAACCGCTCTCCAAATGTTGTAATATTTCAATGAGAAAATATAGACACATATTAACAGACATTTGTTATTATTCCACTACCTTATTTACCTGGTGAATAGCTGGTGACGTCTTCTACCACTTCGTACGTCTTTGAAGGTACAACATCGAAGTGGCGTCGAAGCTTCGCCAGAGCTTCCCTCCCCTCGGCGATGGACTCGAACTCAAACAAGACGTTGAAGATCATGTTTCAAACTGATGTTAAGTTTGGAGTACTTAGTCTTTATACTATCGGCTCCACTCACCGGCCATAACCCGAATTGCAGTTTTCGGTTACCTTGCAC